ATTAGCTTAACTATGCCTTCAATACTGAAAACTAAGGGGTCCATAGGCAGAAATCTGTAGGAAGAGCACATTGGAAGACAACAATCAAAATAATAAGAAAAGGTATTAACAAAAGTATCATTTAAAACATTGACACACTGACTGCTCGGTATGACACCATCATCTAAACCTGTAGGGGATACGACTGACTCTTTATATCCATTCACAACGTTCCAGAATTGTTTAGCATTCTTTAACAGCCTTGAAGGTAATTTATGATTGAAAAAAGTTAGTTTCGCCTTCGTAATTGCTGCCTTATTTGCTCGAGCTGCGCAGTGATAAGCATCCCAACGTTCATCACGGTCGGAATGCTTTACAGAACGAAAAAGACGTTTCTTCCTATTAGAGAGCCGTTTAAGTGTGACATTATACCAGGGGGACGTTGGGTTGGAGGTAATGGCTATAACTAGACTTAAAAGACGACGCCTAGGACGACGTCAGCGGCGACGTGTAGAAAGACTTCAAGGACGACCGCTAGGGCGACGTCCAAGAGGACGTCTGAGACGACCTTAAGGACAAGCTTTAGGACGATGTCGAGGACGACGTCAAGGTCGCCTGGTCCTTTGAAGAGCGTGCGAATGTGAAGGAGTGTGAGAATGGGAGCCGAAACGGTCTACTGCGCGTTGCGAAACGGTCTACTGCGGGTGTAAATAAAGAATACTGTCGCATTAAAAGGACGCGCGTGCGCACTGAGTGGTTCTCAGTAGCAGGCACGGCGCGCCTTCAGGGAGCGCGCTGATGCAAATCGGTCGGCGCTTCGGTGTTATCTGTTTGACGTCATTTCTGTGAGCAAGGTTTCGTGACATCGATCTCCCAACTTTGCACCCCGATATAAGAGCGGAGAAAGACGTAGTTCCCCGTCAAAAAGAGTTTTTTCATTCTAAGCGCGCGCGGCGACAACCCACGAAATCAAAATATCTGCAAAGTGACGCCTGTAAAGCTGTTTTTTTTTTTAAAGAAGCACGCCCCGGTCAGTGTCTGCAAGCTGTATTTTGTATGCTCTGTTAGTGGCGTGACAGCGGCAGAAAACCCGAATGTGCAGACAAAAACGCATCGAGGACACCCTATCCCGACCCGAAGAACACCTGCAACCAATTTCTCTGCGAAGCAAAAAAAAAACACAATTTATTTTTGTGAAACGCTTCAAGCCAAAGCTTGTGCAGGCAAAAGGTTTTCAGCACAAAGTTCCACAGACGAAAAAAAAAAATCATATTGAAACACTAATAGTTTGGATAACGGGAGCGGAAAAGCCAGCTCAACAACCTAATTTTTTAAAAGAGAAGAATTCACAGGCTTAATTATTGTGTTCATACACTAGAGTATACGCACACCTGGCAAACCAGTTCACTGAGGAAATTACTACACGCAAATTATGTAATGCTGATGGGCGTAGTACCCCGACCTACGAAGAACCATCAGCCGCGGTCCACTGCTAATACACCATAAAAATGTAGAAACTGTCCTAGGCGTCATCCTTCCCTTTCTCAATGGTGTTGCAAATATTAAACTTGCCTAGATAATTCTGATCAACTCGGAGATCAAAGAATGCGTCGTGCGTGCATTGTGCGAACCTTATGATTCGCTATGCTTGGTTACGGGGAGAGCTTTGGGTGGTCTTGGATTCGCTGCACACAAGACACACGCTTGTGCTCTCGAAGTTCATACTCATAATGAAGACAACTCTAAATTTATTGCCCAGCCATAATCATATTATATGTTAAAAAGAACTCTGGTACTACTTCAGTCCGTTTGCCGTCACTAAAATGAAAGCTACTTTCTATACATGAATTTTGGCGAGCGTAGCTTCATTCACGACACACGCTTTTAAGTGGAATAAAAGCTGCTGAAAAGCCTATCTGGTCAAAAAGAAATCTTCATGTCACAGAGAACGCTTCTGCTAGAGATTTCCATACCTCAAATACTCGACTCAAGAACTGCACTTGCATTACATTTGGTAGTAATTTTATATCATGCAAATACATTTGATCGAAAGTATTTGCTACTTTAGCTTAACTACCTTTCTTAGTATCTTGTTCTCACTATCTAAAATGCATTTCTCAATCTTTGAAAAAAAACAAATGTCGCGGAATTGTTTTACGAGCACCGCCGAGCGCAAAGTCGAAATGATTGCGAACTTGAAGCAAGAACGACCAAACACTGAACAGGAATCAAGCAAGTACCAAAGATGCAGACACAAAATGCCAACAAAAAAGAAGTGGAAGGAAATGAGAGGACACTGCAAAATAAATTGTGTTTTTTTTTTATATATATATATATATATATATATATTTTTTTATGTTTGACTCCACTAAGGCAAGCACGTCGGTTACTTTCAGGAACTGTCTGTAGGGGAACCATGATAGCCTGACCCTTTCATGAGGACAGATATTGTAACACCAAGGCAGCTGGAAACAAGCTACGAGAAGGATGAGGTCTCAAAATGCAAACGAAAAGTCCTTTGAAAGGTCTCCTTTATGAACGGGCTCCTAAAGCTTAGTATATCTTGAGAAAAGAATAAAGTAGTCGACAACCGCGTGAAAGACAGCATTGCATCTCTATTTTCCCATCTAACTTTCTTTTTGAAGTTTGTTCATACCCGAAAGCAGCGTTTGGGGACACTCTATACTTGAAGAAAGGTCGGCAAGTGCCATGCCCACGTAGTACTAAACATGAACCCTCCTTGTTATTAAATATTCTTTTGCGGATAAAAAAATGGTTTAACGTGAGCTCTGGATGTAACGACAAAAGCGTTTAGTGAAATGATGCCTTAAATCCGTGCATTAAAGAATAACCAGAAAATGAAATTTTTAGCTATGTGAATAGGTAGCATGGGACCTCATTTTGCTCATTTGTGTTAAACACAGAAACTTGTAGCTCGCACCAGTGATCGCAGTACTCCTTGTACGGATGCTGCATTGAATAGCAATGCAATATTCTTTTGTTTGTTTTTGTTCCCTATTGAAAATTGATCTATAGGGTCCACAAAGGTTTTGAGGCGAGATACGTCCGCGTGAAGAGCCCCCGCGCCAACCTTGGCACGGCGAAGGAACGCTGCGCTTCCCTCCGCCTGGTGCTGGGGAAAGGGCGCAGGGCCAGCCAGGCCCTTCTCCAGTGGTCGGCGGGAGAGAGTGGTCTGAGGAAGCCGAGGAGGTTGCTATAAACATTTTTCTCCGCTCGTGGGCGGTTTGCTTGTTGTCGCCGCCATGGATGTTGTGGATTAATTTCGGAATCGTTCACAAAACGAAACGCTTCTATTTATTAAAACTGCGGGATATTAAAAAAAATAATTAGGGAAGGTCTGTTCGATGGGTGTCATCCTCGCGATCTTGTTTTTTCCGACTAACATATTCTTTCTTACTCTCACAACACGTGTGGCAATCCCCAAACTACCGAACATCTAATACAGTTGTCTCGAGTGGACCGGTTTCCTTTAGAAAGGTGAGCATGGTTTAGAGGGCTCGGTCCTTGGTCTGTTTTGATCCATGTGGTTACTTTCTTGGTGCCGCAGGTGAACTCCAGTGCGGCGTAGGCCGCCTTCAGCACCGCTTGGACGTCATTGTGATCGGCGAACTCCAAAAGGGGGTGGCCGGTGTCGGCCCACTCGTCACAAGCCTGGCAGTCGGGGTCAGCGTCCTAGTGCATGTAGTGCCTGTGCACCGGGGTGCGGCACTGTGGGTCCTGAGATTGTGGATGACGGCCGCTGTCCGGCCCCGTTGTGCCTATTCGTCCGTCAGGCTTCAAAAGCATCCAGCGAGCAAAAATGAGGCCGAAGACGCCGCCGTGACGGTTTCAGTGATGACACCGTGGCTGTGCTCAGGATTTCTCAACGGTGGCGGATATTGGTTGCGCGTTCGTGGTTTTCGCTAAACGTGCTTACTGACAGTGTGTGTGCACCCGCGTGGTGCACCTGCTTGGTTTTATAAGCTGAACTGCCATATATAATAGTTTACCAAGCGGTATTGTGAGTACATTCAAATATATACATATGCATATTTTTTGTGACAATGATTTCGGTTGTATTTATTTGATCTGATTGATTTTGTCCACAGCTGTTTTCGCCCGGCTTTGAGCAAAAGTTGGTTCTGATCGCCTTTTTGAGTTACAGCAAGCATGTAAAATTCAATGCCTGAAATACATATCCAATAATGTTTTCAACTGCATTTTTTTGTCTATTGTTCACAGTCATTTGAGCTTCTAAAGGGTTGATGGGCTAAGGGGATTAAGATTGAAGGGTCTGACGGGCTGAAGAGTCTGACGGGCTAAAGGGCTTGGAGGGCTAATGGGTTTGATGGGCTCAAGGATTTTATGGACTGAAGGTGTTTGAAGTGCTGAGGGGGTCCCATAACACATCAGAATCAGTTTATTTTCGTCTATATGTACAGACAACATGGGCATGGACAAAAACCCAACACATGTTGGCTTGACTGGGCCCCACCCCCGTTTTCTTGGCAGAGGCGGATAAGCAAATTGTAAGAAAATGTAAACAAAATCGATAATTATATGGCAGGAAGACGAGTAAAAAAAACAAAAAAAAAACATGTAGACACAATTGTAACCGGGAAATAAAACACTGATATCGTAAGGCACAATACGAAAATAGGTGAGCTACAGAATAGTATTTTTGATGGCACGAGGTGTTAGTGGGCCTGAATGGCGTATTTTAAATAGGGTTGCTTGAGAATAAAGCATTCTAGTGTCACTGAAGTCGATACAAATTACGCGGTGATGAAATATCTTCGAAAGCAATTGTATTATTACATTTTTAAGTGCTGTAAAATCCTTAATGTTCACGAGCCCTCAATTTTCGCAAATTTCACGAATTGAAGAATTCGCGAAATTTAAGGCCGCGCAAAAATTTCGGTCCTTAAGATTTTCAATGCAGGCGTCTGGAATTCGCGAAATTTAGTGGTCGCGATTCTGTCATCTGTGACCGATTCGCGAAAAATAGGGGCCACGAAAATAAAGGGTTTTACAGTATTTGTTTTATACTCAAGTTCTGCAGTGAAGGTAACTTCAGAAGTAATCTAAATACTCGATGAAGCAGGTATTTAATAACTTAAATACCTCTTTAGAGCGCCTTGTTCAACAAAACAAAAAATAGCGTCGTTTCCCATATAAGTTGACTATTGGTGTAACAAGACATGACCAAATAGGTTTCTGACCACGCTTCCTAATGTATTGACGACTCCCCTTATTCTAGGCTACAGACCCGCAATTTGACTGCACAAATAACAGTGATAGGGATGTCTCAACTAACTCCTTGAGGGCAAACCGGATTGGTCTGCTTCTATTTTTTAGAAGTGAAATAAAAACCACATGTATACCCTCCTTACGAAAGTCTAAAATATTCAATCATGCTGTGCTATTTATGTGTATATATATTTTTTTTAATACGTAAGCATATCAATGCGGTCTTCGCAGGTGCGTTATACGGCCAGGGGGTATAATGTTCAGAGTGAATCGTCACTATAAGTAAACTAATTAAGTAAAATTTCGTAATTAGCTTTTTAATTGGTGTAAATAAACATTTGGTACAAATTAGAATCCTTCTGAGCGTCATGGAAAACCACTAAGGCAGCCAAGATTAGAGAGATTTCAAGCACGAGCGAAGCGTGGACGTGCGCTAAACTTGCTACCCTTGCAACAGGCGCCATGCCGGAGGCTCGAAAACACGGTTGTCAATAGTTTTACCCGCATTTTTGGACCGCCAGCCATGCGCCTCTTCACTCTAGCCCGGCGGTGGTACGTCATGTTTGCCGCTCGGGGCAGGTCTGGGACGCCTGAAGTATGACGGTTTGCGCAGGCTTCCTTTCCTAAGTGAGGCCGCGTTGGCGTCACGTGATTTCAAATGCCAATTAAAAGCAACCACCGCGCCTGGGATATAAAAAGCCCCTCTCACACCTGTAACTCGCCATGCACATCTGCCAGCACATCGATCGTTTCTGTTGTATCGCGCGGCGTTAAATCAAACCGTGGAGCCAAGCGAATATTCGCTCCGATTTTCAAATCATGGCAATGAACAAGTTTCGTCTTGCCTTGCTACAACTTGCAGTGACTCCCAATATATCTAAAAACCTTGAAAGAGCCAGTGAGCGGATCAAAGAGGCGGCGTCTGCGGGAGCGAAGATGGTCTGCCTTCCAGAATGCTTCAGCTTCCCGTACGAGCCGAAGTACATCGCAAAGTACGCCGAGCCGATTCCGGGAAAGTCCAGTGAGATGCTGTCGCGCTGGGCCAGTGACAACCAGGTCTACCTCATCGGCGGAACATTGTCGGAGAGGGAAGATGACAAACTCTACACCACCTGTTTGGCCTATGGACCGGACGGTTCGCTGCTGGCCAAGCACCGGAAGGTGCACCTCTACGCGACCGATGTCCCCAGCAAATTCACTTTCAGCGAGGCGGGTTTCTTAACACCGGGCGACAAAGTGACCACCTTCGACACACCGTTCTGCAAAGTGGGCGTCGGCGTATGCTACGACATCGTGTTCTCGTCCTTTGGCGAGCTGTACGAGCGGCTCGGCTGCAAGCTGCTGGTGTATCCGGGAGCGTTCAACATTTACAACGGTCCATTGTACTGGGAGCTAACTTCTAGGGCTAGGGCGGCTGAACACCAGGTCTACGTGGCGTCCGTGTCGCCCTCGAGAGACGAAACGGCCTACTACGTCCTCTGGGGACACAGCATGCTAGTAGATCCCACTGGTAAGGTGGTCAGGTCGGCTGGGGTCGATGAAGAGATCGTGCTTGCTGATGTCGATATGAACTATCTGGATTCGGTGAGGTATCAGCTGCCCCTCCATAAACAGAGGAGGAATGACCTGTACAGAGTAGTCGTCCCCAGGGACGCGGAAACTAACGTGGCGCCCTCTGATGGAGTGTAGTCTGCGATGTCGACGACGCAGTAGTCTCTACCATCCACTCTGCGGACAGAAACTCGGAGGAGTGTAGGTCGGGTGTTCTATATGTTCGGGCATAAACATATTTCTACGGGTGTTACTTTGTTTTCGTTTCCTGTAGGCCTGTGAACTTTATTTAGTTCAGAAAAATTGTTTTTGTACGATTTTTGTTGTTATATTGGTTTTTAAGTAATGCCGCAGCTGTGTTGCCCAGGAAGTGCTATTTGCTGAAAGTAGAGTCACTGAGTAAAGCGTAACTGTTGGAGTATCGTTATGTGGCTAGAAGGGGAAGTGAGACGGGTGCCGTATGCGCGCAATGATAAAGAGGGGCGCGAGACGCGATGAGCATTTGTAGAGAGCCTAGATTGTAGAGAGAGTCCATCTCAAACCGTGGAGAGTGTTTGCAATTTAATGGCGGACGCCTCCAGGGAGGATTGGGGGCAAGTGCGCCTCCGGGGTGGTACACAAAAGTACTCGACGTCAAAGGCCCCGTGTCAGCTGCCTCGCGACAAATAAAGCCCCTCTGTCCTAAGTGGCGCCATTCATTGCTGTGGAAGTGCTCGAGACAGGTGCTGCGCGCCGCTTCTGGGAAGAACATGGCGTCTGAATTCTAGCTCATAGCTGCGCTACAGTGCTGCGCTGTGCCGCCATGATCTTCCCAAGGGCTGCACGTTACACGTGTACTCGTGCATCGACCCACCCTGCACTACTTTTGAAACATGAAGGGGCTTTAGCGGCAAACGCCCCGCCCTTATTGCTCCGCTTTCAAAAGCCAAAGTTTAAGAAGCGCCTGACGCGAATTCCCCGTGGCAGGTGGCCGGGTCTTCAGCGTCAGGGCGGACCATTCTGCTTTTAACCAAAAACCAGAGACGCCTCATTCACACTGGCGGTTGAACCGCGTTTGCGAAGCGGTGGCGAACGCGGATGCTCAATGATTCAATGCAGTTCAACGCGCATTTAATTAGAAAACGAGCGGATCCGCTTAGAAGGTGCTTTTCGAACGCAAGTGTAACTTCAGCATAAGTGTGCACGCGAGCTTGTTTTACGTAGTCATTCCGCGTTCAGCACTCAACTAAGAAATAACTGGACAATGTTTCTCTTTCTTCAGGCGTGCGCTATACACATTCACGTCTTGAAACCATAGAACAGAAAACAAACGTAAAATATCGGTCGCTGGCAAAACATTTAAAGTTGCAATTTTTAGGAATAAGCACTGAACCAAGGCTTTCGTCGACTCTGAGGCACAAGCGAATTCACAGTTACGGCGAAGTGTGTTCTGTCAAAACTGTTTACCCGTAGCTTCACGTGCCATACGCATTACGTGCAGCACCAAACGCGAGTTCCATTACTCTTGCGTTTTTATAAAAATATTCGTATCTCTCTAGGTAGACAGTTCATAACTCTACGTCTGAGTTTACCTCTATGACAGCGGAGTGCATCACTGGTTATGCAGATTTCTGCAGTTTGCAACTAGTACGTCACTCTAAGTTTTTCTGTGGCTTAAGCTAACCTCATATTGTTATTCCTTGCACTTAATGGACCCTTTGTAGGCCCTCAACAAATTAGGTTGGCACTGAACAATGCTGTCGAAGCGCGAAGAGGGTGGGACGAGGGAATTGAACGCGGCGTTTTCGAAACGTGGGACTAATGACGCGGGGTTTTTGCGACAGGGATTCTGCACGCGGTGCAATCGTGCTACTCACGAAGCGAAGCAGGCGGAAAGGCGGAGATGCTGACAGACGAATAACGCGTTCGTCACCCCGTCACAGCTCGTATTGCAAACGCGGCCGATGCGCACGTGACACTGATCGTACAGTTGGAAACTCTCTCTAATGTAGGCTCTCTCAAACGTGTGAGCACGGGTGACGCGCATGCTGGCAGCAGCGCCCCTGGGTTCCCTGAAAACTTCCATGGTGAAATTTTCATCCCAGAATTGTGGCGCACGACCTATTTAGCGGATGAAACTTGTGATGTCCATGTAATTCACAAAAAAAAAAAAAAAAGATAGTCATACGCGTTGTTGTATTAAAGGAACATGGTAGCAGTTGGACTTTCAATATTACCAAAACCTGAGTGGGAAGCAGAGGTGGCAGTAAAAAAATTACTCCAAATGAACTACAATAATTATATTACTTTTGAGCGTAATTTATAATATATCTCATTACATTTTGATGCAGGTAATTTAGTCAGGTAATGGATTACCCTAGTGGCGATAATTGTAATTAAATTAGTAATTTCTTTTTGGGCTTTTAAACAATTTTTATTGGCCCGAAAATGAACAAAAACAAAACAGTTCTTGCATTTGCAAAAAAAAAAGGAAAAAAGAAAAAAAGAAAGTATATATATATATATTTTTTTTTTAATTAGGAAAAGGAAGGACAAATGCGGTTTTCGTTTGCGGCCGCTGGCTTGTCTGATCGTCGGTCTAAACTCTAGAGAGCCGTGCCACCTGAATCCTGCTTTGAAAATAGGCCGGCGTTGGGTCGACCCGGTCGACGCAACGCTAAACGTTGCGTCGACCCAAAACGTCATATCCGGTTTTTTACAACGCATGGGTCGCAAAGCTTTTATATACTATATTGCTAATAAACTATTTTAATGTCAATATGTTATTAACTCATTACAAACCCATTAGTTTTTCAACAAAACGATATTGTTACTTTGATGTCATATCCGGCTTTAGATTAATTTAAAATACAAATGGGTCGCTTGTGTTATATACTTGCACTTGTTTGAAATTTGTTTTAATTATTATCTATTAAGTTAGTAAGGCGAACCCATGCCATCAATGACCAGGACCAAAAATCGCTGCCACCTCGCGCTCCGGTTCAAGAGTACGCACACATGTTTACAAATGGCGGCGCTATGGCAAGTCAGCTGTCCGGACTATTCGGTTATTTAGAGAATTTCATGTAGTTCTTAACAAATTAATGTATCAGTCAGCCCATGTATGCATCTTGATATAACCTTCGCGATCCTAACTATCGCTGCTCACCAGAGCAGCACTGACCCCAGCGCGTCCTCCCCGCTCGCCGAAAACCGCTGAGCCACAAGCATGCAAGATCACGCTGGACCACTGCGCTGGACGCTTACGCGATGCCAGAAAATCACTGAAGGTGGAAGCCTCGCCGGCCTCGCGCCGAAAGCAATGTGTTCCCCATGCCTGCGAGCGAGCTGAGAAACACAAGTACGAGAATATTGTCTTGAGCAGCGTTTACACTGCACGAGAGCGCTTGCACACCAGGCCACCTCGGAGTGTAGAGCTTTTCGTTGCTTTGGCCTCTCCCTCCGTTATCTCACGACGATAACAATGTCTTGCCTAAGCGTACCAGTGGTACGATCTCGGGAAGAACAGACCACACGAGCATCCCAGCGGTTTCTGGGAAGAGGAGGCAGGGGGACATTCCCCTGCCTCCTCATCCCAGAAATATATATGCACTACATTAATAAGAGTGAATACAGGATTACTTCTCTTGTGTTCCCCTTGTCCTTTTTTTTTTTTTTTTTTTCTTCTTCTTCTTCTTTTGTGTGTTGTGTTTTTTAATGGGAGAATGTGAAAGTGTAAAATGCTTGGCGTTGATTTTCCGAAGCAAATGTAGATGTGATGGATGCCTCGGGAAGAACTAAGGATTAATTTGAACCACTTCACTTCGGTTTTCTTTTCACATGCATGAAGTACCTCTATTACACAGTAAGTAAAGCTACTGGTAGATTAAGCTGCACATTTTGCCTCTTTAGTTACCTATCTATGATGCTGGCCTTGAAGGTGCACTTATGTAAGCATTAACAATATTTTCATCTGTGTTGTACCCTGGAACCCAGCATGCTTACACTGAGCTTACAAAAAAAAAATGGGAGGGCAGCTTTTATACTGAGAGCAACATGGTTGTTTATTTCTTTATTCTGTATTACCCTGTCAAGGTATTACAGTTGGAAAAGTAAAAGTTTGAAAAAAAAAAAAAAAAAAAATTCTTTTACCTGCACCAGAAAACTTAAAATGCAAATTTTCAGGAATAATTTATTCGAGGCACCAAACATGATAACCACTGGGGGACCAGTCAGGCAATACGCATGCACGACCAAATGTCCAACTGGTCCTACGACATACCAGAAAGATTGTCGAACCTCATCAGGTGCCACCCACTCGCTGCATCGTGTGTATTCACGCATAGGCGTAGACTACGGGGGGTCGTCGGGGCTTGGTCCCCCCTAATGAGATCCGGGGGGCTCCATCCCCCCCCGGGCCCGGGCCATGATCCTTACCGAGACGCTGTTTCTAGTAGTGGCATGTAAACAAAATAATGCCCACGGTGCCTTTATTGACAAAATGCATGAAACATAGAATCCCTGCTTGCTTCTGGGGAGGGGGGGGGGGGGGGGGGTGTTTTTCCACTTGAGCGGAAAACACCTCCCCCCCCAAGAAGATGGAAAGTTTACGCCGCTGCATTCATGCGAGTCTGTGATTGTTGGTGTCTGATCGGGTTCAGCAGTCTTTTCGGCATGTCAAACAACCAGTCGGATGCCGAGTCGTGTATGGCCTGCCCGGGCCCCCAGTGTTTACCACATAAAATGTGGCATTTCGCAGTCATTAATACGCGGGAAGCAGCTGTCCAAGCGTAAATGTAAAACTCAAAAAATAAAAAAAGAAGTCATTGTTTTTTTTTTTGTTTTTTTTTTTAGTAAAGGACTCTGACAACCGATATGACTGCAATATGCAAAAGTGGACAAATGACGAGAAAAAAACTTTCAGCCTCTCCACTGTGGTGAAGAAGGAAAACCAGCGGAGCTGAACAATGAAAAGTAACGGCTGGCCGCAAGTCAGCAAGCCAAAGTGGAAAGGCTGCCGCCACCCATGAACGACGGCGGCAACCAGATAGGTGGCTTGCCGCCGTCGCTCATAGATGGTGGTAGGTGTCCAGAGTTCGGTGTCTTCATTTCTTTGTGAGGGACACGATCCTGGGGAAACTAGCCCTTAACAGCTCCGCTGTAAAAGTGGTTCCAGCAGGGCATAGAGAAGCTGCCACACAAGTGATGCAAGGGCATTCAGCTCCT